CAGATATTAATGACTATGAAATGAATATGCATGCTAAGTTAAATAGGTAGTATTCCAATACATATAATACATAATACTATATAATATTAAGTATTTATATATAAATATGTAGAAGGTAATACATGCAATAGAAAAAAATAGAACAAGGTAAAAAGGAAGCAAGTACTGGGGGTGAATGAGAGGGGGTAACTTACGCTGAGAGTTGACTTTATTGAACAAGTACCATTTCTGAAGAGATCTGAACTGCAGAACTCTTTGTAAAGAATGACCCTGTCCAAATATGTATACTAAGAAACAACCAAACTCTAATATGGCAGCATAGAGACATGTCCCTACATGAACCCAGAACCTGCATCTCCCACCTCCAAATGTCTGCCTGCTTTAGAATTCCCAGGACTTCCAAGAGAATTTATTGTTTGTTTCTGCCAACCATTGTTGATAGGCTTTTGACCTTCATGTCCTAGAGCATTTACTTTTTAAAAAGTAATTCCAATTATGAATCTGTATCTCCTGTAACTTCGAGTTATTTTTCCTAAGAATCTGAAAATCATTCCTTCAAAATGTAATCATCAGGAGGATACAACTTTGTCTCCAAGTCTCAGTGTGAGGATGGAGCCTAACTTTGATAATTGCTAGCTAGTGAAAACAGCTAGCCTCATCACATTTATGGTGAACAATGTAATGATTCACTTCTCTGACTCTACTTGAGCCATATCTCTTGGTGTCCAACCCATTCTTCCTATAAGAGACAGTCACTTCTGCACAAATCAGAACAGAGCTATCTCTATGGAATAAAAATCTGTTTGTATAACTTTATTCACTAGTTTCCAGGTGTGTTTATCTTTGGCAGATTTGAAAAAAGAACAATCCACATGACTAGTAGCAGAGTTTCCCAAGTAGAGGGATAGCCAGGAAGGGGTGAAAATACAAGAGCATTTAGCCTGTACGAGTAAAAAGGAGTCCAGTGTGGCAAGAGCAGAGGAAGTAATAGAAATATGGTGTGGTAGCTAATGTCAGAGGGTAAATGGAAAGGCAGATGGAATAGCATGTAGGCATTTATAAACTACTTGAAGGTAAGTATTTTAGCTTTTACGCTCACTGGAATGGGGGGACCACTAGAGGAGAGAATAGAATATAGGAACTTATAAACTACTTAAAAGTAAGTACTTTAGCTTTTACTCTCACTGGGGTGGRGAAACCAGTGGAGGATGGGAGTAGAGGAGGGACATGATTTTGCTTGCATTTTGCAAGGATCGTTCTGCTATTTGAGACCAAATGTACTGGTATTGGAAGACAGGGTTTGAAGTAGAAAGTTCAATTAAGAGGTTACTGAAATGAATCGTGTGAGATATGATGGTGGCTCAGTCAAGGGTGACAGCAGTGATAACATCAGATTCTGGATATACTTTAGTTCCTGATGGATTAGATAAGAGAAGTTAAAGGAAGTGTCAGCTATGATTTCAAAGTTTTTGTCTGGAGTAGCTGACAGAACAGAGTGTCTTTCAACTGAGATGTGAGCAGGCTTTGGAGGGGGCAGTGGAGAGGAGAGCCTCATAGGAGTTCAGTTTCAGACATGTTTATAACATCTGTTAGATATTTATGGGGTGACTGAGTAAGCAGTTGGGTATTCAAGTCTGAAGTTCTGGGAAGCATCTATAACACAGATTCAAATCTGGGATTCATTGGGAAATATATTATGTTGAAAGCCATAGAGTGCATGAGGAGACCAAGGAAATGAGTGCAGCTAAAAAGAAGAGAACCTAGAATCAAAGCCCACCAATGATGGTAGAAGTTTGGAAGAAGAGGAAGCAGCAAAAGWGAATAAGAAGGAAGTGCCAACCAGGTAGGTGGAAAGCTAAGAAAGTTTAGTAACCTGGAAACCAAGAGAAGAAAGGTTTATCAAGGAAGAGCAAATGACCAACTGTTGCTGCAAAATTAGGACTGAGAAGTGACCATTAGATGTGAAGGTTATTGGTTATCTTGACAGTAGTAGTCTGAACGTAGTGGGGGGTAGTGAGAGCCTAAGAGGAAGCAGTGTGAGAAAGAAGGAATTGGGAAGAGTATGGACAATTTTTTTGAGGAGTTTCCTTGCAAAGAGAAGCAGACAAATGTATCAGTCAGCAGTGAAAAAAATGAAGTTCAGAGTTGGCTCTTAACAGGTGTGTATTACTGACAACAGTAATGATACTTGCATCCACATCCTAAATTACTTTCAAACAAGGTATTTTGATGGGCCTTTCTACATGCAAAACAGTCATACAATCATCATTGTTGTCCYCAATTGATAGATGAAGAAACAAAAAGCGTGAACAGAGAAAGGTAAGTAACTTTCACACTTCAGCCCAGAAAGAGAAATAACCTGTTTCCACAGATAAAAGTGTACATTATAAAATAGCACTATCTCTCAAGTAGAGTTAAAGTTAGTATATTGTCCAACAACCTGAATGGCTATATCCAAGGGAATTATTGAGAACCCAGCCATGRCTGTGTACAACACAAGTGCCTACATTTTGCCTGTGCCCACACCAAGAAGATACATCATCTACATAATTTTCAAATATGTTGTGTTGTTCTCCCAGTTTCATGGTAAGTAACTTTATCGGTTAAAATATAGGGAACTGGAAGAAAGCTTTTTAAAGGGCTAGGAAAGTGAGAGAAGCAATCTCAGGTGTCACTAGGAGTGCAGTCAGAACAGAAGCAACTGGGGCAGGGGTGAGTGTCAGTATGCAGGCGAGTGGTCTAAGTTGCATGTGTGGCCATATGTACTCAATATAGGTTTGTAGGAGGATTTTCTTCACTGCTTTAGAACTTGACTAGGGTGCTTGGAATCTCCAGGTTGGTCTATGATTTTATAAAAGTTAATATAGATGGATGATATGAATTAGCATACTCATTTGTTGTATCTTTATACACTGCAAAATCTGGGCACTCTCATGCACTGATCTTGCTCATAATCATTTTGTTCATCAACTATTAAGCAAAATATTGTATTATGTACTATGGGATTTTCAAAGACAACTGTTCCTGTTGTCAAAAAACCTAATTTCTACTAGGGAAAAAGATATATAAATAGCTATAGGATACAAAGTTCTACAAGAGAAGTATTAAAATTCTACTARATTAATTCACAAGAGGAAGTGCTTATTTTGCTTTGGTTAATCAAAGAAAATTTCATGAAAAAGACATTTGAGGAGTGGCTTGGAATTTGTGTGGAATTTGAATGTGAAGAGATAGAAACAAGGTTATTTCAGTGGGAACAGTGCAAATAAGAGTGATGTGAAAGTGTAGTAGATATGGAAAATGTAAATCCTTAAATTTGGCAAAGTATGATGCTCTGATTCTGAACTCTGCCTTGACTGCTGAGGGGCTGTGAAAGGGCCATTCAACTGGCCACTGAAAGAGAAATAAAAAATATCTTGAATGATTACAACTACTATATATATATATATATATATATATATATATATATGCTTTATATATATTTGTTTTTTGATGACAACATGAATTCAATTAAAAAACATTACTGAATTATTCATTTATTATATATTTCTTTTTTTAAATATATTTTTTAGTTGTGATTGGACACAATACCTTTATTTAATTATATATGGTTATGTGGTGCTGAGGATCAAACCCAGCGCCTCACATGTGCTAGGCAAGTGCTCTACCGCTGAGCCACAACCCCAGCCCCTATTATGTATTGGAGTTGTGTGTTCAAAAAGGCTGATGGGTTCTGGAGTGAAGACAAACTGTAAGGGACTCCCCCTGAAATTAATGGCAATTTCCTGATGGCTTGTTTTTCTCTAGGACTTGAAACAGTTCCTTTTCAAATGAAAGTTTTAAATCTCTGAACTTCCTCATAATGAGAATAACAACTTTCTCCTGCTGAGGACTGACATCACGGAAATTAAGGATGATGTATACTCTGGCAAAGTACAGCCTAGCTAAAATCTACATGTGTGCATAACCTGGCTTTTGTGTCTATCAATTGCAACTGCTTCTGTGGGAAAGACAAAGAAGCAAGCAAACTAGGTGCTTCTCCCCATTTTAATCAAACTGCATCACAATTCATTTTTCCTTTTTACCATCATTCGCCTATATTTTTATGTGGGTGCCTGGGATACAAGCAGGGTCCTGGGGTAGGCTAGGTGAGAATAACAAAACCTTTACGTGAACTCAATTGTGTGCGTTGTGCTGTAGAAGTCTTGAGTTTGTTTCCTTATCCCTGGAGTGTGGACTATAAAAACCAACCATATTTTGACGATTAGGAAAACAACTGGCACATTTTAGGTGCACAGCAAATGAGAAGAAGCATAAAAAGAAAAGATGAAGCGAAATTATAATCCACCTTGAATACCGAATTAAAGAACTAGTGCTTTTACTTTAGGCATGGTTGTTACCGAAAGGTTGTTTGAACGGCAAGAAGTCAAGAAGTAACACAAGGTATTGCAGCGGCRTTGGCAGTGCTCTCAACGCGGCATAACGAGGCATTAGCAGTGAAATTCTGGAGTATTTTGGGGTATCAAACAACAGGACTCCGCCTTTATTATATAAGGACTGTAAAGTAACAAAGACCGATATTTCGATCTAGGATGCTGTTAACAACAAAAAGTAAACAGAGATATTAAGTTCACTTTGAGCTTAAATCCTGAAATCATTGTCAACTGAACAAGGAAGGGTACAAAAACCGCTGAACATGATTTGTGCTAAAACAAGGATCCAGAAAATGTGCTCATTCTCCTAAAACCTACGAATTCTTAAAATCAAGCCTTTAGACCTTTCATTTTTTTAATTAAAAAAGAAAATACAAGGAAAACAAAACAACCACCACAACAAAAACCCGGCGGCGTAATCCGTTATTAGGACACCATACGACARGCTGCTATCATGGACGCGACACACTCCTTCTGGCCCTGAGATTCCGCGCCCGGTGATGTCACCAGGACGCGCGGCGCGCTCCTGCGTCTCGGCAGACGTGGTACGTCATTACCAACGAGGGGCAGCAGGCGGGGCGACCCTCTAACGTCCTCGCTCGCTCCCTCGTGGCAACTGGTTTCGAGGCCCAACGCTGATCGCTTAGTCCTCATTCTTCTGTCAGTCTGGATCAGCGCATGCGTCCCACTTCTTGCCTGACCGAAAGCCGGTCGAAGGGCGACGCCTTGAGGTTAAACCGAGGAGGTGCGGGAGGCGGGCCCGCGCCGGCGCAGTATTCTTGGAGAAGCCGGGGTTCTTGGCGGCCGAAACAGGTACCATGGCGGAGGGGCAGGTGATCGGCGACTTGTCTTCGGCCTCTGACAGTAAATCAGATAAAATCTCCAAGGTCGCCGCAGAGTCCCTAGACTCCGGGGACTACGACAGCAACTGCTTGTTCTGTCGGATTGCCAGGCAGCAGGAGACCAGCACCGAACTCCTGCCCTGTGAGGTGGGTGGACGTCCGACCGCCCCTCGGAGCTCCGGGARGGAGGCCTAGCCGGTGTGGACCGGGTGGGGAGGATCCGGATCACCGTGCAGAGCTCGGGAGGCAAAGCGGCTGTGTGGACCKGCTGGGGAAGGCAGGGTGTTGTGTGAAGGACCCTGACTTCTCTCGGGAGACCCCCGGAGTGTCTCCAACGAGACACAGTTCCCAGGGGAGAAAAAGTAATGATAGAGCTGCAGGTAGCGAGATTCTTGCCATAAAAGAGCATTTGGGGACCTTTTATTCCAGGAATAATTCCTTTGATTACAGGAATTCTTTTTTCCTCCTTTCTAATTAGAGATCTTAAATTCTGAGCACTCTTCATAACCAACACCGACGAGAAATCTAGTAGAAAACAGATAATGCCAAAATGTTAGATTAGCTGAAAATCKGCTGGGGTTGAGGGCAGTGGGTCTGAAGTCCAACTTAATACTTAATAGCCTCTGATTTCTACTGAAGTGACATCAGTTGGGATATGTGGCAATTTTCAGACAGACTTTGCTCAGATATTTTCTGAGATATGTGATACACAYCGTATTCAACCTGTTCTACTTGTTAAAAAAAAAATCTTTTTGAGAAAATAAGCTCCCAAGATTGTGTAGTAATCATTCTTTAATTCGCTGCACTGAGAGGTGGTTTTGGAGTCRGTGGTGGACAAGATAAAAGGACAGACAGTCTGCCTGTAGGTTTTATAATTTAAAGGGTGGAATGCATACAGAGGTGGCAGCCAATTACAGTGCCCTGTGGTGTGGTCAGGTGGTTTTACAGTATTTTGTAAGCTTGTGGGAGGGGCATCTAACCCAGGTTTGAGAGCTAAGGGAGGAATTTCCAGAGGGATTGAGACATAGGTAGGAGAGCAACTGAAATGCAGTGGTGAGACAGAAGGCAGTTTCAGTTGATTGAGAAGAATCTGAGGGGAGTGTGAATATCAAATATAGTCAGCTTTCACAGAAATTTGGCAAACAGGAGGAGTTGGGGCTTAGGAGAAAGGCCCTGATTTCACTTCCCAGTGCCCTSTCCCAACACACAAAGGAACTAATTACCTAGTATTTAATTTGTATGTTTTTCATTATATGTGTATAATATATTTACAGTGTATTCATGTTATATTCATTATAAACATCTAGAAGTTATTGGGTTCATATGAAGTGGGGTATACTAATAATTTATATATACAGAGATCACTTGATTTGTTGGTAAGTTACCAACATCATGTAGACTTTAGTCTGGGAAACTATCCAGCAGAAGCTAAAGAAGATTCCTTACCACATAGACTTCTATACAATGTTTTCTTACCATGTTCTGCAGAATTGGACTAATCAAAGGTTAAATCATGCATTCTCATCAGGGAGTTTATCTATTCCCAAGGGGGTAAAAATTGGTTTTTGTTGTGGTGGGGGAAATATGTTACTCTTCTTATATAGGAAAATCCTATGCACAGAATCTATGCACAAATTTGCATAGAATGCATAAACAGATAAATAATATATCTATGGTATTAAAATCCTATGAATGTCTTAAAAGGATCCTAGAGTGGCAATAATGGGAAAATGGTTAAACAGTACTGGATTAGATTTCATCATGTTTGAGCTCATACTGAGGAAAATTTAKTATTAATATAACTCCTCCATCTTTGATAATCAAAGTTGTTCTAAAACCTTAGATGACATGATATTCAAATGTTCTTCCAAATGTTATTACTTTTTATTTGCTTTAGGTATCAGGGCATAGTTTGTGGTAAGAAAAGCTATTCTAGATATTTTAAACAGAAATCGGCTTAACGTATGGAATTACTGCTAGAAAAAAATCATTGAAAGGTCTAGAGGAGTGGATTCTAGTGGAATAGTGTCCAAAAATAACATCCAGAACATCACTGCAGAATCTTTCACAAGATAATCTACCTATGCTTCTTGCTAGTTTTATTTTTGTTATTTGTTCTTTTTAGTTATAGATGACAATAGAATATATTTTCACATGTCATACATTCATGGTGTATAATTTCCCATTCCCGTGGTTGCACATGATGTGGAGTTTACTCCAGTTGTGTATTCATATGTTAACATAGGAAATTTATGTCCGATTCATTATACTGTTTTTCTCATTCCCACCCCCCTCCCTTCCTCTCACTACCCCTGTCTAGTCCGACAACCCCGCCTTATTGTGAGTTGCACCAATTTGCAAATTTGCAGTCCCACCAGCAGTGTATGAGTGTACCTTTCCCCCCACATCCTCGCCAACATTTATTGTTACTTGTATTCTTGAAAATTGCCATTCTGACTGGGGTGAGATGAAATCTCAATGTAGTTTTTTTAAGAGAGAGAGAGAGAAAGAGAGAATTTTTTAATATTTATTTTTTAGTTTTYGGCGGACACAACATCTTTGTATGTGGTGCTGAGGATGGAACCTGGGCCGCATGTATGCCAGGCGAGCGCGCTACCGCTTGAGMCRTATCCCCAACCCCTCAATGTAGTTTTAATTTGCATTTCTCTAATTGCTAAAGATGTTGAACCTTTTTTCATCTACTTATTGACCATTCAAATTTCTTCACTTCTTCTGTGAAGTGTCTCTTCAGTTCCTTTGCCTGTTTATTGATTGGTTATTTGTTTTTTGGTATTAATTTTTTAAAATTCTTTATATATCCTGGCGATTAATGCTGTATCTGAGGTGTAGGTGGCAAAGATTTTCTTCCATTCTGTAGGCTCTCTCTTCATGTTCTTGATTGTTACTTTTGCTATGAAGAAGCTTTTTAGTTTGATACAATCCCATTTATTTATTCTTGATTTTACTTCTTGTGCTTTCAGAATCTTGTTGAGGAATTTGGTTCCTGAGCCAAATGATGGAGATTTGGGCCTACATTTTCTTCTAGTAGGTGTAGGGTCTCTGGTCTAATGCAAATGGCAAAAATTTTCTCCCGTTCTGTAGGCTCCTTGCTAGTTTTAAAATATTAGGAATATATCATAGAAATAGTTGCATGAGTATATAGAGATTATTATTGTTCCTTTTTATAACCAAATAATACTTCATTATATGGATTTATCACAATTTATTCAGCCACTGTTCTAGTTGAATTATGGATCTTCTTGTTATTTTCATTCTCTCATCATAAATCTCACTGCAAAGAATAATTTTACTTATATAATTTCATATTTTTTGGCAGCATATCTTTGGAATAGAAGTATAGTCTTAAAATAGAGATCCAAATAGTGRCTCAACCAATAGTAGCAATGAGAGAGAGTATGACATCAGAGAGCCAATTTCAATATGTTTGAAATCTTGGTGGAAATCTAATTTAATCACTAATGTCATTAAGTTTCTTTGCTTTTGATAGGACTTTTTTCTATTCCTGGTGCTGATCACAGATATGTTGATGGTAGTAGTTGTTGTTTTTTTAAAATTAGAATTAGGAAAACAAATTATACGTAATAATACATAAAATATTTCAAAATAGAGGTTTGGRAGATGGACAAAGAACTGAGTATTCTGGTCATATAGCTGAGTCATGGAGTGTGAAACAGCAGGTATATATAGGAATGTTTTTTTCTGCTGATATCCTTTAGATTGACATTTTCTAGTTTTATTAATCCAAAAAATGTTACTCCTGCTTTGAGGCAGAATTCAGTTTTATCATCTCAAACTAATTCTAATCAGGATGTATTCTGAACCAGAAGGAATTGCCTCTGAATTTTTAAAAATCAATGTCATAATTGAGGGGAAATAAAAATATGAAAATATGATCAACTAATCTGGGCTATGTTAGTATGGCAATTTTGTGTTGCAAGATTTGATGGCCGGTACTACTTGTTTCTTAGCTGAAAGAAAAAATGGAAAACTTTAAACAAGAACATTGTGACCCTTTACCTTATCCCTTTATAAAATAATCCATGTATATCAATATTTAAATTTATCACTAGACAGCGAAACCATAATAAAAAAATAGATAAACTGGTATAATTATCGTGTTTGCCATATTAGGATAATAATGAGATTACTGACATGAATTTGAGGCCCTCATTTAAATTGAATTTTTTCAATGAATTTKTGCTTTTGGAATGGAGAATAATGAGCAACTGTGCATTTGGGAAATTTTACTGAGGAAACTCTGCTTATTGATACTGATTTTTTTAAATCTAAGATTGATTAAAGTTCTGTAAGAAAGATAGATTTTTCTCTTGTAAAATCCGAAATTTTAAGGCTTTTTATTTGGAATAAATGATCATCTCATGTCAGAAGTTATGCTTGTTTTTATATACTTAGTACATAATCATAAAATTGCTCAGTATGGCTTTTTTTTTTTTTTTGTAGCATGCATACCATTTTCCTTTCAGAGGTTTATGATGTTTAAGTTATGCCACAATAGTGTTAGGAAATTATTTTCTAAATTTCACTAACAAATACTTTTTTTTTCACTTTAGAATGAAGACTTTGTTTGCTTCAAAGATATAAAACCAGCAGCACCTCATCATTATCTTGTAGTGCCAAAGAAGCATATTAGAAATTGCAATGATCTAAAGAGAGAACAAATAGAATTGGGTAAGATGATGGCACTGTTATTCATAGATTTATCATCTTGAATTGGTATCAGCAATGGTAGTGACCATTAAAATATCTTGCTAGGATGAAAAGGGTCCATTATGACTGTTTGGAACTTTTTATTATAAAAAATTTCAAATGTATATAAAAATAGAGAGAACTGTATAATTCCCATGTATTCATCACTTAGCTTCAGTATTTATTAACTTGTGGTCATTTTTTCAAGTATTAACATCCCAGAGGTGACTTGAAGCAAACACCAGACATCATGTTATTTAATATTTAAATTTTTTCAAAGATAATGTTTCTCTTTGAATTTTTTAAAATGTTAGCATTTCTTGACTCTGCAAATGGAAAGTGCTATGAAAAAATTTAAACTAACAAGTTTCAATATGGCATATTGTCTCATAGTAAGATCATGTTTATACTCCATTAAGATCAATCACTAATGTAGATGAATTAGCAATAATTTAATTGTGAGATTTGAGTGATGAACTTAGTTTCTGAAAAGGAGATTCTGAATTTTGCTTCTTACAGAATTATTCTGTATTTTCCAACTTGTACCTTCTGTGACTCGTCAGCTATCATTTCCTAAAACATTCCTAAGTTCACTTCAAAATGTAATTTGTAGATTTTGTCATCAGGGTTTGGGATTAGTTTGGTTAATACTGTAAGTCACCCTATAAGATAGATAAATAAATGGAAATTTTGATKTGGATATAGTTAATTTAGGCTAGACTTGCCAGTTTTTAAATTGTTGTTTCTGGATACTACAAAGATTTTTAGTATTTGAAGTTCTTTTAGTACTTTTGAGAAACATATAGGTTTATACCAGAAGATAGCAGTTGAGCTTATAAAGATCAGATTTAACTTCATTTATTTATTTATTTGGTACTGGGAATTGAACCCAGGGGTGCTTGGTGCTTTGCTACTGAGCTACATCCCCAGTCCCCTGCCCGTTTTTTTTTTTTTTTTTTTTGGTACTGGGGATTGAATTTGGGGCACTTAACCACATCCCCAGCCCTTTTTTATTTTTTTGTTTTTTGAGACAGGGTCTTGCTAAATTACTCAAGGCCTCACTAAGTTGTTGAGACTGGCTTTGAATTTGAGATCCTCTTGCCTCAGCCTCCCTAGCTGCTGGGATTACAGTTGTGTGCCAGTATCTGCCAGTCCTTTTTTATTTTATTTTTTTAGAATTTGAGACAAGGTCTCTGTAATTTGTACTTGTGATCCTTCTCCCTCACCATCACAAGTCGCTGGGATTAGAGGCATGTACCTCTGTACCCTGCAGATTTAACCTAAATTTACCTGAAATTGAAACATTCTAGTATTTCTTTGGTATTAAAAGTTTCCATTTCATTCTTGTGATAGTTTCTTAGATATTATATTTTCTTTAGAATTTTTGGAACTTTTCTATTTATTTTTAAGGTAGAGTTAGGTTTGGGAAAATAGAAGCTGCTGTTGTAACTAGTTTTATAACTGTTGCATATCAAATGTTATCAATTTTTAAGCAGCTGGTGGGTATTTGGGATTTCACTATGTTTTTTCTCTCTACTTTTATATATATTTGAATATTTTCATATTGAAATCTTAACAGTAGTGATTAATTTTTTATATAATCTGTAAAGGTAGAGAAGTATTAAGCATATGGAGGAGTTCAGTAATACTATCAAGTCTAGTGACCATWACTGACATTTATAGAATACCACTTAGCTGCAGAATACACATTTCTTGAAGAGCACATATTCACATTCATCAAAGTACAGTATATTCTAATCAGTAAAATATTTCGTATTGCAAATGCTTGAAGTTTAATAAAATGTCATCTGAGGATAATAAAATTAAATTGTAGAAATAACAAAACCTGGACTAAATATTTATAAATTAAAGAACATATTTCTAAATATTTTATATATATATATATATATATATATATATATATATACGCACACACACTTATATTGCACACTTCTAAGTAATTCCTAAATAGGTCAAAGAAGAAAATAATTTTGAGTGGATTGGTCATAAAAATAAACATGTTAGAATTTGTGGGGTGCTGGTAAAGTGGTACCTAGGAGAAAATTTATGCTTTAAATGCTCATATTAGAAAAGGAAGTTTAAAACCAATGACTTCAGTTACCACTTTCAGATGTTAGAAAGAGGCAAGCAAATCAACCCAAAATAAGTATAAAAAATGAAATAATAAAGAGTATATAGCAATGAAATACAGATAGCAGATTTTATTTCATGTATTTTGAAGAATTTGATTTTATGTAAATATATAATTAGGATTGTCATATCTTCTCAATAAGTTGATTATTTAAATTATAAAATATCTCTTTATGGAAATATTCTTTGAGTCTATTTTGTGTGATAATTTAGCTGTTTCTACTTTATTATTTACTATTTGCATTGCATATTATTTTCTACTTTCAACCAAATGCATATTTATATTTAAATACTTGAAAACAAATATGGTTGAATCTTGTATTTTGTTAAAATATAAAATCTCTTAATTGGAATGTTTAGCCCATTGACTTTTAGTGTAACCATTATATCATTGGGTTTAGGTCTACTGTTGTGCCATTTGTCCCATTTGTTATATGTTGCYTTATATCTTATTTTTCACTTTTGCTTTTTCATATTTCTCTTTAATTTATCTGTTGTCATATTCACTGCTTTTTAAAAAATATTCCTTTTTTAGATGTTGATGGACTTTTATTTTATTCTTTTATTTATATGTGGTGCTGAGAATTAAACCCAGTTCCTTACACATGCTAGGCAAGTGCTCTACCATTGAGCCATAACCCCAGTCCACCCCCCATATTTACTACTTTTTATATTTCTTTACTTAGTGGTTGCTTCAGAGAGGTTATAATACACATCCTTTAATTACCAGGCCTTGCTTAATACAGGCATTATATCAATTCTTTTAAAATGTAAGAAACTGGTAGTCTCCCAGTGCAAGCCTGATTTAGAGAAGTAAATATTAGCAGTTTAGTAAGCCTCAATATAACAGCTGTCCTTTGTTGAATCTCTTACTTCTTCCCCTTTTAGATGCATGATTATACTATGTATAGGCTTAGGGTTTCCCATTATACTTTGAAGACCCAGGCTACCAACATTTTTCTAATAGGGAGACTTCTTTTTCCCACTTTCGGCCATGAAAAAAAAAAAAAAAAAAGATGAAAAATGATAGGACATAGAAATTGGAAGTCAAAATCATTATATAAATGTTTAACTAGTAAAGACTAGGATCAATTGAAGGGATATCTTATTTCTAATTTGGGCTTAAAGACAAATTTGGTTTTTCTGTCTTTTAAAAAATTTGTTTTTGAATTGACAAAAATGTACATGTTTATTTTATATAAGATGTCTTGAAATATGTATACATTATGAAATGAGTAAATTGAGCTAATTAACATATACATTAACTCATATGCTATTTTTTGGTGATGAGAAAACTTAAAATCTACTATCATTTTTAAGGATAACAGTACATTCTCATCATGTTGTATGAACTTACTCCTTTTAATTGAGGTTTTGTGTTGTTTGACCAACAWCTCCCAACCCTACCCCACCTCCAGCCCCTGCTAACCGCCATTCTACTCTGTTTCTATGAGTTTAGCTTTTTTAGATTTGATATTTAAGTGAGATCATACACTATTCAGCTTTCTGTACCTTGCTTATTTTACTGAGCATGATGTCCTCTAAGCTCATCCATGTTGTCACACACCAGAATTTCTTTCTTTTTAAAACTCAATATCATTTTATTTTGTGTGTATATATACATATATACGTATATGTGATATTTTCTTTATCCATTCATCTGATGGTGGACACTTAGGTTAATTCTGTATTTTGCATATTGTGGATAATGCTGTGGTGAACATGCTATCTTTTTTCTTAATTCAATTTCTGTATAATTACCTATTCTCTTTATTAAAATAGGCATCACTATAATGTTCTAAATAGCCACTTGATAATATCTCTCAACTGCTTTCCAAAGCCAACTTATGTGTGTAATATTTTGTGATAATGATAATGCACTAGAGCTCAATTTGAATATTCATTTCAGTTGTCGATGAACAGATTTCTTGGTRACTTAAAGCTATTGAATGTGTCTCTAAATGTTTCCCCATTTGAYGTGACTTTTGACCAGAACCCCAAAACTTAAGATTAATAACAATTTAGTGAACTTAATGTCTCCTATATATTGGTCTAATGTTTCTTTCCTGTTTTATAGTGGAAAACATGGTAACTGTTGGAAAGACCATTCTTAAAAATAACAATTTCACTGACTTTTCAAATATGAGGTATGTATACATCAGATAGAAACTAACATTTTGCATTATTGATTTTTCTGACATGTTATTTTTCATGAAAAAGAGAATAGCAGTTACAGAATTTTGGTTTAAATACATTTTTTCCTGAAAGTGAGAATATAGTTCATATAATAAAAATTTGATAAAACTTCTTCCTCGCATTTCTTAATATCTTCCAAAAATATCTACTTAATAGTTTAGACAGCCAAATATATATAAACAATAGGTAGTTAAAATAGTTATGAGTCCTTTTTTTCTTTATTCTGTTTGGGATTTCTGTAAAATTGTGTATAAAATGAATTTTATTAGACCAATCTTTATTTTTTGTGATTTAAAAAGACATTATTAACTCTGCACAACCAGAGATATGAAAAATTGTACTCTATATGTGTAATATGAATTGTAATGCATTCTATTATCATATATAACAAATTAAAATGATAAAGAATACATTATTAGACTTCTGGCATGAAATTAAATTGGATTTATTGCCTGCTAATTTGAACTCTGGCATTTGCCAATCTGAGCAAAAACACATAAYGTTCAATTAACTGTTTTAATTAATTTAAATGATAGTATTCTTTTTAAAAAGATTTCTGACTTTGTCCTGTGTGATGTAAGCAGTACCAAGGCAAGGTATAGTAGAGATACTTAACACTTCTGAACCAGAATTCAGAATTCTGAATCCATATCATTTGTGTACTGTACTTGTACTAGCTGTGCCATTTTAGACAAGTCATTTTAGTTATCCACAATAATACTGCTCTACCTACTTGTATACTAATAAGAYTGTGTGTATGAAGATCCTCTGAAAACTGTTAAGCATTATCCTAATGTGGTAATGACAAGTAACATATGGTATTTAAGATGTTCTGGCCTGAAGAAACATGTTCCTTTCTCAGTTTTGGAACTGCTTATTAGAAAAAAGAATACTGGATAAGGAGTCAAGATCCCTGAAATTTACTCCTAGCTCCATCATATTTTAATTTTGTGGCCTTGGGAAGAGTTTTTTTTTTTTTTTTTTTTTTTTGAGAAAGAGTCTGGCTGTGTTGCCCAGGCTGGTCTCAAACTTTGGGATCACGTGATCCTTCTTCCTCTGCCTCTCAACTAGCTGGGGCTACAGGCATGAACCATTGTGCTCAGCTCTTAAACTTTTAATCTTTGCTTACCCATCTTTAAAGTGAAATTGAAAATGGATTTTTAAGAGGTTAAATCATACTTATGAATAATTATCATCTGACTTATTTTTAGTATTAAATTTAGGTGATCAAAGTTTTTTTTTTAACAAGATGATATGATTGATGTCACTTTTGAAATACTGGTTCGCAAAGAAATGCCTGAGTACTTTATTACAGGAGAAAGCATGCCATCTACTGGTTATACCTTGGAATAAAGTAACACTACTACTTGTGTGCCCCAAAACTTTATCAGATTCATTACAGGAACATATCTTAGAATTCAAACTTAATGTTATAAGGACTGAACTGATAAGGAGTAATGTCAGCTCAGAATTTATAAAGGTTATTCTGAGATATAATGTGCTATTAAGCCCTTCCTTGTTAAAGAGTTTATTACTATGAACTTGAACATGAAAAGAAGAGGAACTGTGTGAATACTATGAAGTGTGTAAAGAAATATACTAAAAGAGATATGTGAGTGGTATTCTTTCTACTTTAGGTAACATATTTTATTTTGTATATCTTTTATATGTCATTTAACCTATAAATTGTTTTTAATTATTGTAGAGCTGATTTGTCAATCATTTCTTTCTTCTCTGTTTTAGRATGGGTTTCCATGTGCCACCATTCTGTTCCATTTCCCACTTGCACCTTCATGTTCTGGCACCAGTCAGTCAGTTGGGCTTCTTATCCAAGTTGGTTTATAGAATAAATTCCTATTGGTTTATCACAGTAAGTGTTATTGTATCAAGAATATGCAAACATATTTAAAATATTTGTCCTTTTGTTGAAGCTTCTTTTCTTGCAAGATTAGGCACTTATAGCTTGCAGTAGCTTGAACACCTGTTTTAACAAACTGCTTTGTATATATTCAAAGTTACTTTGGGGGATTTTGTAGTCATCAGGTCTATAGGGAGAGAAGCTATGGCCAATCTCTGCATTGCAATTAGGGTATATGATATAGAAAAGCAAGACATTAAGAATTTAGACTTTGGAGTCAGATTTGAATACAAATTCTGGCTCCATTGCTTACTTGAGGAATCAGGTACAGATTACTTTTTTTTTTTTTTTTGGCTGATGTTGAACCTAGGGCCTGGTGCACGCTATATAAGTATTATACCACTGAGTAACGTCCGCAGCCCAGGTTTAAGTTCTGTATTACCTGTCCTTAGGGTTAATAAAAGAGATGATGAGATGATTTCTGTATAAAGCACTTAAATCAGTACTTTGTAAGGCTGAGAGTAAGGTCATTGGTAGAACGTTTGCCTAGCATTTGTTAGGCTCTGGATTCAATTGCTAGTATTGCCAATAAATAAATAGTACCTTGCAGATAGTACTCAGTAACTAAGTTAGGTACTGTTTCTACTATAATCAACATCAATATAGAAACTGATTTTTTTGTAGTTTTGTGTGCGTTTGGATGTGGTTACTGGAGATCAAACCCAGAGCTTTGTGCTAGGCAAGCAGTGTTTCACTGAGTTATGTCCCCAGCCCTTTTTATTTTTTTATTTTGAGACAAGGTCTTGTTAAGTTGCCTAGGCTGATCTTGAATTTGGAATTTTCCTATCTCAGGTTCCCAAGTAGCTTGAATTAAAAGCATGTGCCACCAACATGCTGGGCAAGTTTTTATAATATTTGTAAAGATTTTTTAACTTTATTTTATTCATTTATTTTATTATTTTTAGAAGTACCGTGTGCTAACCGATTGCGCCAGTGGAGCTCCTATTTTATTATTTTTAAAACAGGTCAAAGGTTATACATGTTTAATAGTAATGTCTACTTTACAATTACAAAATCATGTCCATTGAAGAAATTTTTTTATTATTAATTTTTYAAATTTATAAATGACAGTGGAATGCATTATAATACATATTACACATATAGAGCACAAATTTTTYATTATCTCTGGTTGTATACAAAGTATATTCACACCAATTCGTGTCTTATACATGTACTTTGGATGATGATGTCCATCACATTCCAACATCATTTATAACCCCATGTCCCCTCCCTTCCCCTTCCACCCCTCTGCCCTATCTAAAGTTTGTCTATTCCTCCCATGCTCCCCCTCCCTACCCTACTATGAATCCTTATATCAGAGAATCCTTATATCAGAGAAAACATTYGGCATTTGTTGATTGATTGTATATCATCTTCTATGATTTATATCATCTTCTGTGAGGTATCTGTTTTTTTTTTATGTGGTGCTAAGGATTGAACCCAGTGCCTCTCACTTGCTAGGCAACTGTTTTACCACTGAGCTACAACGCCAGCCCCAGTTTTTGTAATTTTTGATTTTCAGTTTAAACTCCATAGAAAACTACTAAGAAAAGGACTTTAGTACTAGAGTTAACTACCTGATCTGTGGTTGAAGCTTGCAGCCTAAAATATTTGCAGAATCATGTTTGCTGAGTCAATAAGTAAAAGAAAAAAWTTCAGTTATTTATAGGCTGGTGGTCTGACAGTTTCCTTAGACTCTGGTCTCTCTGGGATACTTGACCAGTAGACTCTGATCTCTCTGGAATACTTCACCAGTAATTTACCAGGCTCTTGTTTTTTGTGTCCATTATCATAAGATAACTGACAGTTACTATATCTGAATAATCAAATAGTATTTATTTGCCATTAGTCAGTGAATGATAGTATTCTAATAGTACAGAAGAAATTAAAAAGCCTCAGATTTCTAGAAACTTCAAATTTCAAACATCTCTCTCTTCAACATATCCAGATGATTTTATTTAGCATATTTAAGATTGTGTGTGTGTGTGTGTGTGTGTACTTGAAATAAAGTTGGGTGTTCAACAGGCAGCACTTGTGGTCTCTAAAAATCATATAGCCTTTAAAAAATTTTACAAATGGATTCCCTCCTTCCCTCCCTTCTTTCCTCCCTTCCTCCTTCCCCCCTTCCTTCCTTCCTTCCTTCCTTCCTTCCTATCTCTGTTTCTACTTGTCTATAAGATTTTGATTTGTGGTAAAAATTTAATTAAACCACATTTTGGGAGTGGGGAGTATAGCTTAATAATAGAATGTATTTTCTTTCATGAAAGTTTTCAGTTGGCAAACATGAATAAACAAAATTTTAAGATCTGTTAATGGTTTATCCTGGGAATCTAAAATCTTTAATCTGTATTCTCAGTAGTATATTATGAGACTTAAAAAAGATAAATATATTAAAGTTTATTCTAAAATATCTTATATAAAGTGTTCCAGATTATGAAGGAAGATTGARAAAGGCTCTCTGAAATGATGTAACTTTAGTTTACTTTCAAAAATAGACTTTATTTTTTAGAGCAGGTTTAGGTTGTCAGTAAAATTGAATGCAAAATACAGAGTTCCCATATACGCTGTGCTTGCACATATGCGCAATTTTCCCCATTATCACATTCCCATCACAGTGGTTCATTTATTATAATGAGTGAACCAACATGATCTATCATTATTACTCAAAGTTTACTTTAGGGTTCACTCTTGATGTTCTACATTCTGTGGGTTTTGACAAATGTATGACATATTCTCACTAATGTAATATCATTCAGAATTTTCTGTTCTCTGCCTATTCATCCCCTTGATTCACTGACAACCATTGATTTTTTTTAATATTACCATAGTTTTGCCTTTGCATAAGGTCTTATAGTTGGAATCACACAGTACATAGCCTTTTCAGATTGACTTCTTTCTCTTAGTAATAACATTTAAGTTTCTTTCATATCTACATTATTTTTTAAAACTTTATTTTC